CGTAAGTTATGTGAACCGGTAGCGATTGAAATCAAATTGGTTTTAAGACACGATAGGTTTGCTGTGATACTGATACATAGTCGGTTTAGGAGGATAATGTTTCCTTATTTATATGAGAGACTTGTCGCCTATTTTTCTCCACACGCAGAAAACTAAAAAACACTACTCTCTCCCTCTCTGAGTTCTCGCTGTGGTGAAAATTGAGAAAAATCAGAATGGTGAAAAAAGGAGGCACGAGGAGGAAGATTGAGATCAAGAAGATTACGAAGAAGACTTCTCTCATGCCTATTTGCACTAAACGCCGTGAAGGTCTCTTTAGCAAAGCCTCTCAGCTTTGTCTTCTCTCCGGTGCACAAATCGCTATCCTAGCGACTCCTCCTTCTTCTGAATCCAACGTATCCTTCTACTCTTTCGGTCACTCCTCCGTTGATGGCATTGTCTCTGCTTTTCTCTCCGGACAACGTCCTGTTCCTGTTCAGGAGGATAACAAAGCGATGAGGGAAGACGTTGGTATCTGTTTGACTCGTAAGAATCTAGGGTTAGGGTTTTGGTGGAATAACGAGAGCCTTGCCAGATCGGAGAATCCCCAAGAGCTTAGTGACGCCATCGATTCCATGTGGACGTTGTTGAGTAATCTCAAGGAATTGCGTGCGGAGGAAGCTTTAGTCAGTACACAAGCTTTAGTTAATGATCATGAGGACCTGAAGAACAACGTGAAGAGAATAATTGTTTCTGACCACGGAGCTCATGATCAAACCCTAGATCTTCAGTCCACTTCTGCAATTTGTTGCATCCCTGATGATTTACCTGAAAATTTCAACGAGATTACTCAAGAGCCAGATCAAACCCTAAATCTTCAGTCTAGTAATTCTGCAATTTGTTGCGTCCCTGATGAATCACCTGCAAATTTCAACGAGATCCCAGAAGAACAAGATCAGATTCTCTCGATTTGTGGAAGTTTTTGTGTCACGGACAACAACAACAATGCTTTAACTGAAGTAAACTTGGATTATGATCAAGACATGGATAACAACAACAACAATGTTTTACCTGAAGGAACTTGGATTATGATCTGGAGATGGATATTGATTTCGAGACTAATTT